GACAAAATCAATTATCTTGAGTAAACAAGACAGACCAGAAACATAATTTCAACAGTTTTCTTCGGACAACACATAAAGCCTTCCCAATTTGTTATTTTAATCAAAACTTAGCAATCGATCACTTTTGCATTGAGCTGTAAGGCTTTCATACTTTCCTATGGTAGCCATACCAAAGAAGGTGCTGCTTTCGACAAGTGAACAAGTAAAAGGAGAGTTGAATGACGAACAAAAAGTATTGGTTCAAGCTGGAAAATAAACAAGGATAAAGGTGGATGGGGCCTCATTTGTTGGCCCAACTTTTTTTTTTTTTTGGGTAACCTAAACTACCAAAACAAATTCAATCAAGGCAGAAGCAGTTCCCGTCTCATTCCCTTCCCGCTCTCAACTTTCAAACTCTCCAAGAATCCACCCCAATCCAATCGTTCTTCAAGCCCACTATTCTTCCTCCTACAATCCTACTGTGCGTCTTCTCTGGAGTTCTGCGAATCTGCTTCCTGCTGGTCTGCGAGGCGACGACTGGCGTCTTCTGGTCTCTAGAGTTTTGCTGGTATGTAGCTGCTGACCCCTTCCCCTTCTACCATCTATAGTCTTAATTAGCCATTATGTCACTTCTAAGTACTAAAGTTGAGGAGTTCATATTTCCAAGTTTTTGATGACATGGATCTACCATTTGCAAAGTTACTATTGTTGCCTAAAGGTAGACACGGGGGGACATAATGGGTGAATACTAAGCCACTGAACTGATTTTCTTTTACGTATTTTGAGTTGCTGGAAAACATGAAATAACGGAAAATAGACTCTTTGAATTATATCTTGGCATTTTTAGTGAGCATAGTTAAAGAGTTACTGGAGCATATTTAGAAATGGAAAGAGGGGAGATGAGCAACATTAACTATTTTTATCTCAATGCTAATTGCTACTATTCCATTTCTTCCAAAACTGTTGTTATTTTTAATAGAAATGGATCAAGTTCAGCTTTGAGTAAATCTTTCTACTGTATAATTTATTGGATGTGACACAATGTAAAAATCTGAATATATTTTTATTATTATAAGCATTTATAAATAATTGTATTTGTCTTGATTCATTCCAGGTCAATATTGTGAGTCAGATTGTTTTGAATGATTGTGAATCTGATTGTTGTGAATCTAATTGTGAATCTAACTGTAATATAATAGTTTCCTTAATATAATTTGATTGTTGTGAATCTGATTGTAGTAAATGATTGTTGTGAAGATTGTTGAAGAGTGTGAATCTAATTGCACTTGCATATGATTTTGATTTCAGGCTTGTGAGATGCGACGATGGAATTTTGAAGGGTGTGAATTGTGATTCCATAGTTTTCATCGATTTTCTACTTCTCAAATAAGCAATGACTTGCCCTAACTTGATTTTGAATATATTAAAAATGTTTGAAACATTGTCGGCTTATATAATTGTGGCATGGTCAGCTTATATGAATGTTCATTGTCATTGTATTGAATACTTTAATTGCGAGATGAATGTTCTTTATATTTGTTTGTCGTTCTACTGTTCAGTGTTAAATTAGCAATACGTTGCATAATAAACTGTTGGATTTTGCATTTACGTTGTTTTAGAGGGCCCAATTGTGAGAGTTAGCAATACATTACATAATAAACTGTTGGATTTTGCATTTACGTTGTTTTGGGTGGCCCAATTGTGAGAGTTCGCCTCGAACCTCAAAAATCACGGGACCGGCCCTGGGTTTATTTACATTATCAAAAGTTTAATGTAATTGTTGCAGTGCATATCTTGAAAAACTCTCTCTTTGTATTAACATTTATTTTCTTCAGTAACTCAGTTGTGTGTAAACTTGATGTGTAATCAAAACTCAGTTAACGTGTATTAGTAGATAGGATTTGACAATATAATATGAAACAAGATTTTAACTTTTTTTTTTTAAAATATTTGGTTGATTGATGTGAATGGATAGGATACACTTGATCCGACCAAGATTCAATCAGAATCCCGATGAATCATCGATTTTCCATAGACCACCGATTCATTGACTGGGTTTAAAACTCTGCCAACTTGGCGAGGGATTAGACCACTGGCCTTCCGTTTAGAAGTTGTAATAAAGTGCATATAAATTAAATATTCAGGTAAAAAAAATTTAGAACACATACTATTAGCTTTTGAATTATCAAAAAATTATTTTAAATTTGTTCGTATGTATATCTTTTATTTGTATATAAAGATACATCATAAAAAAGGGCAATTTCATCTCTACATATAATTCACCTATTCTGTGTTGATTTGCATTAAATTATTTTATTCCTATTCCGTATTTTGCTGAAATTCATGTCATTTAAGGGATTGTTACATTACATCATGGTAATGGAAAAGGGAAAGTTCATAATCAAATATTTTTCGTATGTTTGGAAAATATTAGGCCTTGTAATTAGCAGATTTTATCCGTTA